GTCCACCGAGCGCAGCGAGGCGGATATATCGGAGCGGTTTCTAGCCGAGAGCGGGGCATTCCAGGACTTCGTCAGCTCTGTGTGAAGTTCAGGCAGGAATGGGGCGGCCCGGTTGCACGCGGGGGTCGAGCGCCGATGAAAAAAGCTGCCGTCCATCCGGTTCGGGGCCTGCTCGGGTGGAGGAGACCACTCGAGACCGAGGCGTTCGACAGCCTGTGAGAGGAGGCGCATTAGTTCCTCCTCTATCCCGGCGCGGATCCCCGCCGACTCTCTCGTGGATCCGAGAGATGACCATTCCTCACTGTCTGACGCGAGCAGTGAACAGGAATCCTTCTCCTCCGCGGCGTCATCGGAAGCGACAGAGCGGCCACTCGGCGGCAACTGTATGTCCGGCTGGGGCGGGGAGGGAGAGCGGGAAGCGGGAAGCGGCGGCGGCGGCCCGCATGGTTCCGCAGGGGGCTCCGGCAGCCTCTGGGAGCGGCGTTTCTTTTTACGCGGCGAAGAGAGAGGCGGCGCGGGAGCGGATTTTGCTGCCAGAAGTCGTGCCCGCAGGGACGACAACGGCAGGCTCTCACAGAAGTCGCATCCTCCATCCGCGAGGGCGAGTTCTGCGTGCTCGAGTCCCAGGCAGAGAGCGCAAATGACATGGCGGTCTCCGTCCTCGAGAGGAGCGCGGCAAGAGCCGCAGGAAAAACGAGACATCTTTAAAAAGACGCTCGGCTCTTTTAGATATAGAGAAAAGAAGGATACAGTCGTCGGATGGCGCTAGCTTGCAGGGCGGCTGAAGGTGGCGAAGACGGCCGGCTTCTTCAGGGTCCGGGAGCTCGCTAGAGTGATGCCTTCTCGACGGCGACGGCTTTTCTCAGGACAGCAGAAGCGTGTAGCTTGCTGAAGATGAAATGAATCAACAGGGAGAGACTGTTATATACACCATAGCCACGCCCATTCTGGCGGGCCATGATGCAATGAGCGCGCGGGCGCTTCTCATTGGCAGCGGGTTCAGCCCCGCTCTCCCATAGGCTTAAGCAGTTCTCTCTGAGCGAACCAATGAGCTGCTAGCTAGCCTGCTCTAGGTCTGCCGCAGAGGAACTGCGTTGTCAATGGATACAAATTATGAATAATTTTTTGGCTTCAAACTCTCAGCAAAGATGAATCTTTCCCGCAGCGTAAGCTAGCTTACGCAATACGAGAGAACCTCTCGTAAGAGAACCCACCAGTACCACTGGAATTAAAATCATTATTACAAGCTAACCGTTTTGAATCTAGCTATGGCAAGCAGATAGTTTTGACCACTGGCAGAATAAGTTTTTTTTAATATAATTATTTTGGATTATTTTTAACTTAAAAAAGTTACGGACTGGAGCTTTAACAAATAAAATATATAGGAAAAGGGTAGAGCACGTCTAGCATCTACAATGGTCTCATCTCATCTCCAACTACGTCATCACGCATAGTACACGTCATGAGTGATGTAACCATCTCTCTTAAAGCGCACACTGCACTATAATGTGATAATGAATACACAGTAACGATCGTTACAATCTCCTGACATTTTAAGTTGAACTTAAGTTTTTATAAAAAATAAAATAAAGGCAGTCTTACTTGACTTCATTTAACATAAATAGTTGTTTTTCTAAAATATAAAATAAAGACAGTCTTTCTTGACCTGACTCCAAATGTTTCTTCAAATTTGACGTAGTGTTTTTGTAGCACTTTGTCGCCACCAGCACAGAGTGTACAACGAGTGCCATCTTTAGCTGACACAAACTCAAAATAGTGAAGGGGGACGCGGTGGTGACACGTTCATGTAACATGTAAGGGTGGCGATTACATAAGCAGAGAGCAGTACGGAGATGTTTTCTTTGAGTTTTCCGCGTAAAGGCGACACCATTGTCAAAATGATATCCATTCACACTGTAACAGCCCTGCCCCCTTTTTTCTTTTGTGAGAATTCTAGGAAAGAGACTCCTCCTTGTTGGGCGGGACTGCTCTAATGAAAATGACTAAAAAAGTTGTTTTCTGCTATGCCATCAAAAGGTAATCAAAAGTTCTGCACACTCTTGCGGTCTTCACGAGACTGCAGAACCGCAGAACCATACGTCATAGCAGTGTGAGGATGACAGCGCCAGCCTGACAGTCTGATGCCGGAAGTGGGCGTGGCCAGGCATTGCGCTACTTCTGTGTTTTAGAACGTTTCAAAGTTTAAAACAATGCTATAAATATTTGTTTAAACGATTTAATTAAAGATATGTTTAAGATGTGTATATATATATATATATATATAGTTGTGTGTATACAGGTGAAACTCGAAAAATTAGAATATTGTGCAAAAGTTCATGTAATTCAGTAATTCAAATTAAAAGGTGAAACTAATATATTTAGTATATATATATATACATATGCATGATTATACTTTTCAGAGGGCCAACATTTCTGTATTTAAAATCCTTTTTTGTATTGATTTCATGTAATATTTTAATTTTCTGAGATTTTAAATTCGGGGTTTTCATAATCTGTAAGCCATATTTATCAAAATAATAACTTTTGCACGATATTCGAATTTTTCGAGTTTCACCTGTATATATATATATATATCAAATATTATAAAATATAATAATTATTTGTCCTATTAACAAAAGACAATATACTACTATTAAAAATGCTTTTCAATTCAATCAAATGTTCAAGCTTTGTTTTAATTTTATTATTATTTTTGTTTAAAGCTTTATTCAATTTATATTGTTAATCATTTGACACAACAAATGGATAAAGTATAATTTTAACTTTTAAAAAACTATTTTGTTAATACTCAACCATTTCACAACTAACAATTTTTTTTCACAGACCAAACAACATAATTCTATGGTGGACTGAAACAAAAATTATTAAATAAATACAATTATTTTTTTCCTCTGAAATGGCAAAAGCATCACACACAGATATACCTGCTCTAAATAGCTAAATAATAGTAATTAAATAAAAAATAAAAATCGAACTAAATAAAATAAATTATAAAAAACAAAATCAAACCAAAGAAAATAAAAGCGAGTGTCATGACGAAAGGCGCCTCATGAAATCATCAGGATTAACTCCATGTGTATGGAGTTTTGATTTATTTAGTTTATTTGTCACTTGAGAATTATTGTTAAATGTGTGCCTGCATAACTTTAATAAGATTTATTTTCTTTGGTTTGATTTTGTTTTATATAATTTATTTATTTGATTTATTTTGATTTTATATTTTGATTTAATTACTATTATTTATTTGGAGGAGGTACAGCTAGTGTGTGATGCTTTTGCTATTTCAGAGGGGGGGAAAACACATTTTATTTAAAAAATGCTTTTCAATTAAATCAAATGTTCAAATGCTCAAGCTTTGTTTTCGTTTTATTATTTTGTTTGTTTTAAGCTTTGTTCAATTTATATTGTTAATCATTTGACACAAAACAGATGCATAAAGTATCATTTTAACTTAAAAAACACTATTAACATTTGTTAATAGGCTACATTGCCTGTCTTTTGTTAATAGGACAAAACATAGTTATTATACTTTATAATTTTATAAATATTATATTTTATAATATTTTATTGATATATATATATATATAGGCCTATCTCTTAAATATATATTTTGAATTAAATCGTTAAAAAATATATTCATAATAGCATTGTTTTAAACTTTCTAAAACACAGAAGTAGCGCAATGCCTGGCCACGCCCACTTCCGGCATCAGACTGTCAGGCTGGCGCTGTCGTCCTCACACTGCTATGACATATGGTTCTGCGGTTCTGCAGTCGGTTACTATTGGTCTTCACGTGCACTTGAACATTTGGCCCAAATACAGGAAATAGCCTACGTCATGTAAGTAGACAAGTGGTCAAGTGCAAAGACCACAAGTGTGGGTATTTGAACAGGCCTTATATGATTTTGGTATGTGTGGTACGAATGGTAAAAACCTCTCAACTAATATTTTGAATAAAAACACACCTGTGTCAAATAAACAATATCTATACACTTTTTTTATTAAGTTACTCTATAAATAGACTTGGATCACCTTTAAAATTGGACTAAGTTTTTTTTTCGTTGACATCAGTATTTAAAAAAAAAAAGAAACACAAAGAATAGGCTACTTTTAATCAGCAAGAATGCATTAAATTGATGACAGTAAAGTCTTCGATTATTACATCAGCATATTATAATGTGACACTGGAGACTGGAGTAATGGCTGCTGGAAATTCAGCTCTGCCATCACAGGAATAAATTACATTTGATTATATAATAAAACATAAATTAGTTTGTGATAGGCTAATATTTCACAATATTAATGTTTTGCTGTAATTTTAATAAAATAAATGGGTGTGCATAAGAGTCTTATTAAAAATAAATGAAAAATCTTACCGAATACAAACCTTTGAACAGTATATATTTTAGTGCATTTATGAGTTTGACTGTGCATATTGGAATTTGTAAAAAGTTATTTTAGTAAGAACAAATTCGTTTATTTTGTTACTCATTTGGAACCTTTGCAGTTTGGCTATCTCAAAGTCTTATGAGGAAGGAAGGCCACAGTGAAAATGCTGGTCATCATATGTCAGGTAGTTCAGTTCTGCAGCCTTTACGTCTTTAATGTGTGGGTTTATGAATCTTTCATCTTATCAGTTTTGTGCAATCTACCACAAACAGTGAAGATTAATCAGCTTTCTAATGTAATAAACCTCATCTGACATTCTGTCTAATCTTATAGGTAAGAAATCCATATTGGGCTCTCTGAAATTGGTTTATACTATTTCAACTATTATTATTATTATTATAAAAATTACAGAGGTTTTAACTGATTTAACTTGTGCTGTTGTTTATAAAGCATGTTGTTTAACAGGTTAATGTTACCTCATAATTTTCAGAGGCTGATAATGAAGTGGGCTGGAAGCTTGGAATTAAATTTTTCGCAGTGTTTATTTGTGTTACCTTAATTTTACATTGTGCAGGGATTTATTCACCATTACAACATGCAGTCAGCTGGATTCCTCCTGTTGTGCTTTTCACTCAGCATTCTACTCTATGAATCGAGTAAGTATTAATGAGCCATAAATTTAGCATAACATAATGAAACATTTATCTCTCGAAGCAAAAGAGTTGAAAAAGAAACAATATTTCTTATTCTTTATTTTTATGGTGACTTGGTAAAGAAGGAACTGATGGTAAATGACCTTATCTAAAGATGAGACTGTACTTGACTGTTAAATCATGTTTTAATGGGATAATGAACAACATTTGAACATTATTAACTAATTGAAAAAGTTGTATTACTCATTCGTCTGTAAATTCCAGAATATTGTTTCCTACAGGTAATACCCATACAGCTGATATCCCGGAGGTGCTAAAAGTCACTGCAAAAAGTTGCAGAGAACTTCTGAAGAAACATGGAAAGAAAAAAGGTACGTATGATCACTTTCAGCACAACACACTCACTTCAGCACAATATTATAATACTCTATGTTCCCCAGATGGTTTGTACTACTTGCTCTCTAAAAACCATGAGATTTACCAAACGTACTGTGACATGACCACCAATGGGTGAGGCTGGACACTGGTGGCCAGTGTGCATGAGAACAACATATACGGGCAATGCACTGTATGTGATTGCTGGACAAGCCAACAAGGCAATGCTGCAAATTATCCTGCGGGAGATGAGACATGGGCTAATCAAGTCATATTTGGGACTCCAGAAGCTGCAACCAATGACGACTACAAGGTACAGCTAGTCTAAATAAAATTGCAGGAAATATATTATGCATATATGTAACAAAAGTCAGCATTATACATACACTCATTGCTTATTGGTATTACAGAATCCTGGCTATTTTGACATCCGTGCAAAAGATATTGCCGTGTGGCATGTTGCCAATGATCATGACATGGAGTTCTGGAGAGTTACTTCCGTTTTACGCTACCACACTAAGAGCCAATTTCTGACACTGTTTGGAGGGAATCTTTACAACTTCTTTAAGGTACTTGTTCAAATTTACTTTTCATCTTCTGGCAATACGAGAACTAGCTCAGTATTTCTGAGATTTAAAAAAATAATGGCGGTCTAAGTGTAATTAAAAGAAATATTTGCAGTGAATTGTCTTTTTCTCCCTAGAAACACCCTTTAAAATATGGCACAGGGGCATGCAGAACTGATTGTTTATGATGTTGCCAACGAGATGAGGACTAAAGAATTGTATGGAGAATATGTTAGAGGTAAATCTTACATTTACTCATGAGCAGTATAAATATTGATAATTCTCTTGCAGATGAGACTTCCAGAACAGAAAGCTTGAGATTAGTGGTTCTCAATTTTTGCATTCATGATACCTTTGGTAAAAATATAGAAGTATAGAATTGTTAATGGCCAGTGCAGCCAGTACAGATTCAAATTTGAAAGTTTTATTTTAAGTCTTCAGTCTCCTTATACATGAATACAACAATACTACAAGCAATTAACAAATTCATGTGTTGGTGAAAGTTACTTTTAAAAAGTAATGCATTACAATATTGCATTACTCCCTAAAATAAAAACAACTAATTGTGTTATTTACCCAGTCAACAATTTGATCTCACAGTGATCTCACCATGGGCTTCCAGGATACACATGATGTGGTCACAATGTGAGGTCACAAAAATTAAGTTTCCTTGTTTATTTTGTATTCTTTTCAGCCTGTTGCTGGCATTTGACACAAATATTTCTATTTGATGGATTCAGATTCTGGTGTTGTTTTGGTGTCTCCTTTTCACTTCTTAACCGCTATATCTTTTCACATGCTGCTTTGAAATGTGAGCGCAACCGTATCACCCAACAAAAAGCATTGTATTCTCAGCGTTACCACAAGATCATGTTATATATTGAGAATTATTGTAAATTCAGTCAGTTTTCTCTTTCGGGGAGCAACAAATTTAAAGACATCTTACTCTTGTTGTTGTTGTTTAGAGTCGATATATTTATACCAACTTATAGGCCCAATAGATCCTAATAGATTTGAATGCAACTCTACAGCTCCCTACTGACTGAGGTTTGTACCGCCAGTGTAAAAGTTCGCGTTAAGTTGGCTCAACACACTTATGGCAATTCGTAACACATTTTACGTTTCGGCTAATTGGTGGCAACATGCTGTGACATCAGTGAAATTTCAAGGGCAAAAGGTCCATTGTCATATACGGTAATGTATATGAAGCACAGCTCACACAGAAGTCACTTTCAAACCAAGCAGTGTTAATGTGGTGAATTCGAGCGACCAACTTGAACCCGTTGTGAAGTCTGCATGTGGAATTCTTTCACCCTCATGCGAAATTATCAATGCTGTGAATTCCTATCGAAATTACAGAATTTTTCCCTGCGAAAATACTTATTGAACCATGGCAAATGTAACTGCACATTCCCAGCTTACAAAAATACATTCTAAGAACATTTTGCTAATGTTCCCATTAAGTTTCTGAATGTCTAGTTTTTTTGGTTATGTGAATGTTAAGAGAAACATTTTAGCATTTATGGGAATGTTACTTTAAAAAAAACACACACACACATGTTCAAATAAAACATTTCAGAAAAACATTCCATTAACAACTTATAAGTAACTTTTTTTGTGCCAACATTTTGAAAAAATATTAGAGATAACTCGAGAATAGTTATTCTGTTAATGTTACTGGAAGAACATTTGTTCATAACTGAGAGAGCCTTGCCAGAACTCTGGCAGAACTCTGCAGTATGTGTACGAATTCATGCAATCTCATTGGTTTGTTTCTGTATGATTTGCAAAAGCCCAGACAGTAAGGTTTAGGGGTGGACCTTCATGCATGCTTTTTATCTAAAAATTGTAAATCACATCATACTTATTTACACAAAATCGCATAAAACAGTTAAGTTTTCTCACGAGATTGTTGGACAAGCACTCACATCTCCATTCACATACTTGCATAAAGTAGGCTATTTATTTCTAACCTCTTTAATAAAATTTTTATTATGAAGATTAAGATTTTTATTTATTAGAATGAATTAGAAATAGAAAATAAAAAATTACAGCTTGAATTGAAAATGTGAGTTTTGTGTTTTAGACTCCAGAATGATTCATTGATTTTCTTACAGGGGATTTCAACCCTGGATATGTAACATTCAGAGTTTTCAACGATTACAGTGAGGCCTATGCAATGTGTTCTGGGGTCAGACCGAAAGGATGCTATGCACAATATGTGAGAATTCCAAAAGACAGGAATGTTGACCTTAATCTTTAAACAGACAATTGAGGCTGGATTTTCTTTTGACTTTTATCAGTTTTGTCCCATTTGTGACGTGTCTATTCCTTAGTATATGGGCATTTATATCTGTACATTTATTTGTTTTGCAGTATTGCATTGGCGGTGGTGGCTACTTTCCAAACACTTATTGCAGCGATTTCGCCTATTAGGGTGCAAATAACGGTGCAACAAATGGATATGGTGCATCTAAAGAGCTCATAAGCATCTGTGCTTATTTTCTACCGCTAAAATACAAGACATTACAATGTAACTTCCAGCAACTGTTTCTTCTTGCACTTAAGCAAAGTTCCTTAGTAGACACACACACACACACACACACACACACACACACACACACACACACACACACACACACACACACACGCTTTTGTATTATTAAGATCAAACACAAAATGAAAAAATTTGATTTGCTACAATATTTCATCATCCTAACTTGACATCCCAAAGTTACTGCAACACTTTGTCATTACATTATTATTGTATTAGCCTAACAATAAAGCTTTTCAAGAAAATTCATACGATTTTTGGCATGTTTTGGAATTTTAATAATTTAATGTTCATGTACTGATAAATCATTAGATTAATAAGGGATTGTTATATTTAAATTATATTGTTTAAATTGTTTATATTTATATTATATTGCTTATGACAGCAGCACTAAAGCTGCATGAACACATGATCAATTTCACAAATGTGCATTGGCAATTTTGATTAGTGACCTAGAAATAGTGCTGATAAACATTTCTTATGCTAATGTACATTTATCAAAATCCTAAATCCTTCCTGAAATCCTTTCTGTTTATTTCAAGTTTAAATGAGATTTTTAATATGATCTCAGAATTTGAGTGTACAAGTAGCATACGGTTGCCCATTGCCCAATCTTTCCAATCTTAGACATTCAGGTGAATAATGTAAACATGTATCCAGAGAGCCACATACCGAAATGTAAGGAATGACTGCTTGGCCGCGTCTCTAAAAGTAATGAGCTGCCTACTTAGACAACATTATGGGCGTCGTATGTGCGTTTAAACTTTCACATTTAATTATGAGCATAATTAGCGCGTTCAAAAGTTAGTTCAGATTTTATAGTCATCGATATACTCCCCCCATGACGCCTCAGAAATGGTGCTTTAGGTAAGTAGCGAGCGATCGCTATCTTTTGAAACACATATCATACGAGTAACGTTAGTCGATGTACTTTGACCCTTCTCTCTTCCACTACTTGCGCTGCTAGGAAGAAGGAGTGATCGGAAGTATGTTGTAATGAAACAGGGGGAAATCTTTACATCAAGGAAGGATCGAAAAGAGGAGGGAGTGATATGTGATGTTATGGCATCTGAAAGGGGATACAGATGGACTGTTTGTGCTGTGATTGTTCTTTTGATAGCTCTATGTGCAGCCCATATGACAGATCGACCTGCCCGTGAGTGTCATACCGTAAAACCAACGTTATTCTCTATTTGTTCGATGATGTTAAATATAAAACACATTTCCTGATGTTCTGGTTCCCTTTTGTTTTTTAATTCTAGTTATCTGAGCCAGCTAACCAGCTAGCACCACTATTAGGTTAGCTGTTTTTAGCCAATGCTAATTGACCGTTTTATTAAAAATAATAATAATAAATAATTTAACTTCTTATTGTGATTCACCTCAATGTATTTTGTAAACTATAACTTATGTATGGCGTCCAAATCATTCACATGTGTTCTCTCTGTTAGACTTAGGCTATTATTTATCTTAGCCATTTAGATTCTTGCATTTGCATGTTTAATATGATGCTCCTATACATAACTAACCACAACAAAAACATTTAGAGATGTAATGGATTCAAATTTCCCTCGTTTGGCAGATCTGGGCAGTTTTATGATGTTTCTTGTGAGGCAGATTAGTGCAGGCATGTGACTGGAGGAGGGACAGAGTAACTATTGTAATACTGCAGTTGCACCAAAGCAGCTGACCATTTAGTTTCATTAGAAGACCTACAGTTAGGTTGAATTGAATAAGAGGCGGCTACTGAAGTCTACAGAGTGGTGAGTATATTTAGAAATTGTTGCTAGAAGAGAATCTGTCTCTTTGTCAGAAAACCTAGTCTAAATTCCTATCTACACTGCATTTTTTGGGCGTCAAAGGTGTGATTCCTACAGAAGCTACCTATTTAGAGAGTGTTTAACTGCAATCTCTGATCATATAACTTATATATTTGTGTTGCGAATGTGTCATAGTTGGTGATGATCAAGTGGCTTTGCTTTCAGTTTCTCACCCTCACCGCAAGACTTCTGTCCTGAAGATGGATGAGGCCGCCCTTTCGGTGGTCAATGAGATCGAGAATGAAATGATGTTATATGTGCTTTCTGATCACTGCTATCAGGTATCAAATATTCATGTTCTAGGTATATAATACATGCAGAATTAGAATTTACCATTGCAAAGGCATGCGATAATCGCTGATCTTGAGCTGCATGGTGTTAAAGTCACCATGAAATCAATTTCACTTGCATACAGTAAGGCCAGAGGGGATTGGTTTGGGGATTTGTTTTTAATGACTGTACAAGTAGGATTAAACCATCAAAATATGAGAAAAAATATTTATGTTTTTAAAGGGGTCATGAATTTTTTTTTTTTTTTATGCTATCTTATATATATGGTATATATTATAATAATGTTAATAATGTTTTTTTGCACAAAAACAAATGTATGTGGAAAAAATATATTTTCAACCCTTATTCTGACCCTCTGTCTGAAATAACTAGTTTTTAATGGGTGGCTCCTTTAAGGCTTGTCAGTATACGGCCACTGTTATGATTGGCTAACGTAATTGCATAGGAAACAGCATCAATGGCCACTCGCTATTGCACGTGAATAAGTGTTTTGCAAACATCATCCAAAAAAAGCAGACATTCACAGACAAATCATTATGAAATTGTTTACATGCAATTTGTGATATAGCTGCTGTAAGATCCAATACAGCTGACTCCATCTATCAACAAAAGTTTCTTTGCGAACTCTCCATTACACTGTGCCTCACTTACAAAATAATCTGCAGTCAAATTCTCTGAACAAACATAATCCTCCAATACAATCTAGGACGCCATTCAAATAAAGCATCCACTTGTCAGTACAGAGACGTTATTTACTCTTCCATTTGTCCTCTTGTCAGCAGAATCAAGCATTAAGAGATTGGGTATCTGTATACTGTTATTACACAGTGTAAATAGCGTCAGTGATTATAATGGGTTCTATTTGCCTTTGACGTGATGCTCGCATGTGGTGTAGGCAAGTGTCACCTATAAAGTGACTGAACGCCTGTGGGCGGGGCCTATTCTTCGATGATGTAAAAACTATTTGTCGATGTCTTGCTTTGGAGGCAGGCATATGCAAATGTATTTGCCCATGTGACGTCACAAATCCCACAATATCCAAACGAGCTGTTTTTGGAGCTTGATTAAATCAATGCTTTGTTTATAATGTGAAGGACATTGTAAGCTCTGAAACTTGCAGGATTTTAATGGTAAATACCTCTTATCAAAAGATCAAGTTAAGTTAAATTTTTCATTTCATGACCTCATCTCATGTCTCGTGTCTTTAAATATTTTAAATATGAGGGAAGAACAAAACGCTAAACATGGTAAACTGGTTAAACTACAGCTACAGGTTTTATTTTTCTATGCATAAAATGCATAGAAAAACTAAATGCTCACAGGGAAAGGCATACACTGACTACAACATGTTAATATTTCGTGGTTCGCTCTTGTTTTTGCATGTATATATATTTTTTTTAGGGCTGTCAAATGATTAATCGTGATTAATCACATCCAAAATAAAAGTGTTTTTTACATAATATATGTGGGTGCACTGCGTATAATTATTTTATATATATAAATACACACACATGCTTGTATATATTTAAGAAATATTTTCATGTATATACTGTATATAGATTTATATATAATTTATATTATATATAAATATAAATATTTTATATATAAATAATATTTTTTTCTTAAATATACATGCATGTGTGTGTATTTATATATATATATATATACAAAATAATTATACACAGTGCACCCACATGTATTATGTAAAGAAACTTTTATTTTGGATGTGATTAATCGTGATTAATCATTTGACAGCCCTAATATTTTTGTATAACAGCCTGGCCATAAATTATGTCCACACTTTGCAACTGCCATTTCATGCTGGCTTTAATACAGAATGCTGCAAGTAATTATATGGTAATAACATGATTGAATGTACCAGTATAATGCTGCTTAATGCTGTAGTATTGTTCCAACTGGACCTCTTTATCCATGTGTTGTCTGTGCATGTGTGTGCATTAGTGTTTGCCCCAGCCGTTGGGAATATTACCTGCAAGGCCAGTTTCTGGGACCCCCACTACAGTAGGGTTTGTTGTAAGCACACAACACGCTTTGACACTTCAGCTCAACAGCACCTCTGCAAACCTGGAGCAATGCAAGTGAGTTATGCATAGATACATTTAACACAGAGCAATGGCAGTTTCTGACCAACTTTATAATACCGAATACATCCTCACCATGTTTTTTCTTTTGGCCATTATTGTCAATGCCAGGAATTCTTGTCAGACAATTGATTTGTTCTTCCAGTGTTCACTTCCACTTTGGGGAGCAGGGGAACTATTCTCTTTGGGTGAAGAACCTGAATGAGGCGTCGCAGGTCAGCTGCACTATGATTACTGATTCAGAGCCCATCAACAGCTACTTGCGTGAGTCAACCTTGATGCCAATATCTGACTGATTTAATGTCAGTCAGTTTACACTTAATACCATTAAATGCTTGCAAATGAGACATGCAAAATTTAAATTAAGTCTTATTTTACACATTATTTACAAAACATATGCAGATATCAGAAGATGAATTGGCCTGGGCCTATAAATGATCATGAAAAGAGAATTTGTTTTTAATTCTGGAAAAAAAAATATAGCAATAAAACAGGTAAATAATGAATTAAAATCAACTGGGCTGGATGAATGAGTAGTTTTATTGTTTGTTTTTTCCAGCCATTTTGTTCGCTTTTCTGGCATTTGCTTTTCTGGCTGTATTATCTGCTATCTGGAACACAGTTAAAAGGTAAAGACATCTTTAAATATTTTTTAACCATGCAATGGTAACAAGCCAGAACAGCTTTTCGCAGCTTTGATATTTGCTTGTAAAATAGAGTTCTTCTATTTTTAAGGCTGGATGTGGTGACAAATCTACTTATTCGCTTGGGAAGCACAGTGGAGACAGAGAGGCTGATAAACTCGGTAAGAGTGCTTTTCACTTTTTTTACACCTTTTTTTTTTTACACTTTTAATATTTCCTCTGTCTGATTTTAACATCTTTGAAATAGAATCTCAAACCACCAAATATATATTGTTTTTGTCATAGTTCAAATATGTAGTGTTTTTTTTTTTTTTTTGCAGGTTCTAGCTATGTGGGAAAAAATACAAGCATGAAAAGGAATTTTAAAGATCCTTTTCTTTTTTTACACTCTCGCTGTCTTTCTTTCTCTCTTCATCTCCAGGAGCTTGGCACTCCAAACAGATTGGTAAATGCCTCCACGGAATCGATAATTCCTGCCACTACAGGACGGAGGCTTCGTTCTTTGGATACTTTCCGTGGGTATGGTGCTCTTTCACTAATTGTTTCGGGTCCAATGCGCTTGAGATGGGAATTGAAACATTCAGGTGAAAATGATCTTGCACAGAAGCTGCTACTTTGCATACTGCGAAGCTGGTTGTCAACATGTAAATGTAATTTGCATTTCATTTCTTATTATCCTGAAATAGAATGATTCAATTCGAATTTGATAAAACAAGGTTACGTTTGCTGGTAACCTTACCTGATAATTGGAACAGTTATTTTCATTTTCAGTGTTTTATTGTCTGCCTAATTTATAAAAACAGTCTGGTTGAATTCCAGATTCTCTGTTAAGACAAAAATGAACCTCGCTCCGTTTTCTCCACAGCCTTGCTCTGGTCATTATGGTGTTTGTCAACTACGGAGGTGGACGTTACTGGTTCTTTAGGCATGAAAGTTGGAATGGTAAACTCATTGAACATATTTAGAATATGTCTGAAAAGCACTCATGAATTTAATAGACCTTGGTATGACAACAGGAAGTACAAGTATCTGATTGTGTTCTTCCTCTTGCAGGGCTCACAGTGGCTGATCTCGTGTTTCCTTGGTAAGCCAATCCAACGTCACAAATGACTGATTCTTCATTCCACATGCAACTTTTGCAGCTTCCTTAAACTCTGTTTCAGTTATTCTTTTATAGCGCAGTATTGCAGTAAAGCTTTTTATTTCTGTACCATGCATTGATTAATCTGCGAGCCCCATCAGCGCTGGCATAAGCTGTAGTGTATTGGAGCCAAGCATAGGCGCTTATCACTGTGGCAGAAATGAAGTGGCACATCAAAGTCAGCATAAACTGGTTTCACAGCTGAACTAAACCCAATAACCTTGTTTTCTGCTGTGCAGCTGAAAAGATGCTAGTTAAAGTCATGACACCTCTGTGTGTGTTGTTGCAGGAAGCCTATATGAAATGACCATGGAAGGTGTAGTAAAACATAAAAATGAACAATCTGTCATCATTTCCTCACCGTCATGTCGTTCCAAACCATAGCTTTCTTTCTTTGGTGAAAAACAAATGGAGATGCCTGTTAGAATGTTCTCACTGCTCTGTCCCATACAATGAAAGTGTAGGGACCGGTGGCTGTCAAGCTCCAAAGGAGAAAAAAATAAAAAAATTCTAGTTTAATATATTTTAAAATGTAATTTATTCCTGTGATGGCAAAGCTAAATTTTGTGCCTTATTATTCCAGTCTTCAGTGTCACATGATCCTTCAAAAATCATTCTAATATGCTGATTTGGTGCTTAAAAAACATTTAACTATTACTAATATTGAAAACAGTTTTGCTGCTTAATATTTTTGTCGAAACTGTGATACTTTCAGGATTATTGGATGAATAGAAAGTTCAAAAGAACAGCATTTATTTGAAATAGAAATCTTCTGAAACTATGTATATGCCAGTGTAGTCCAAGGCTTCTCAAACCATATGATTCCCTTTTTTGATAAACAGACTGAAATGTATGTATTTATTCATTAAAAATCTCCTGTAGCTCTTGAATCTCTTTCGTGCCTTCACATAATCAAAATTTCCATCACGGAATAAGAATGACGTGTCTATATGGTCTAAAATTTCTCATTTAGTGTTCCACAAAAGAAAGAACGACATGAAGGCAAGTAAATAATGACAGCATTTTCATGTTTGAATGAACTATCTCTTTAATTCTATCTCTTTAGTTCTGTGGTTATGGTGCTTTGAGACAATATATTGCATTTCTTACACAGAATATTAAGCCAAGATATAGCTTTGGATGACTTTACTGATGAAGACAGTGAATCTGATTAGAAAGAAATAGTATAGAGAGACAGGAAACCTGGGGGGACCAATGGGATCAAAGCATGAGAGAGACTTCAGAGACAAATGTTTGCTACAGATGTTGAAGAGAAATTGGCTTTCACACGGTTCCATTTGTGGATGATGCTTAATCTGTGTGTTTGAAATCACGCCAGAAAGTAGCACTTCCTAAAATGAGTATCTATTTTTTTTGTCTCCCCTTCTGTCTTGCTTCATCTAACTTTCTTCTTCACAGGTTTGTGTTCATTATGGGTACTTCTATTTGTTTGTCCCTGAGCGGTTCAATTCGCAGAGGTGTCAAACGCACTCATCTTCTCTGGAGGATTGTCTCGAGGAGCTTACAACTCTTTCTTATTGGAGTCATCATCATCAATCCTAACTACTGCCAAGGACCCTGTGAGTAGGAACACATTTTTACTTATTTTTCTTCATAAAACTTTCAAAACAGTGCAGCTCTATCCCTGCAGATATTAATACATTCTACATTCTGTACTGTTTTATAAACTAAATACAGTGTGAACCACATCAGTATTGAATATGATACAAATGAAGATTCTCATTGTTAAAATGCATGCATTGATTTTTTTGTTGTTGTATTGGATAGTTAAAGGCCCTGTGACTTGCTGGTTTTTAGTCCATGTCTGTAACTTTGAGGTCATCTATGAATGCTAGTGCTCATCTTTTTCAATGGATGAGAAAAAATCGCATAATTAATCAAATATTGAATATTGACTCGACTTGCTCACAGGTTCATATAGAATATAGAATTTCTTCTCCAATGAAATGTTCTCTCACTGAGAATACCATCTTTGTCCAGCTACCAATAGCAAGTAGCAAATAATGGTTTTGTTGGATAATAGCATAAAAAAGGCATCCAGCTATTTCCTACCCCAACTTTCTTTTTCAATAGGAAATACATAAACACAAAAAAAAAAAAAAAAAACATTTCATATTGTCATTTCATAATATATTCAAGCCCAACATTTTCATTTAATCGCCATGTCAGATTATTTTTAGTAAGCTGTTTCCAAAATCAGTCAATTTTATATAGCTTCTGATTGTGAAATTGAAGACTATAAACACAATGTAAAATAAAATATTGTTAAAAATATAAATGGTGATGTTTCATGCATGTGTCTATGTATCTGTACAGTATCTTGGGACTCTTTGCGTATTCCTGGCGTATTACAGCGTCTGGGCTTCACGTATCTTGTTGTCACTGTCTTGGATCTTGTGGTGGCCAAGGACAGACTAACCAATCTGTCAAGTGTGAGTCATGTTATCCTTCTCCACACGTAATATGCACACACGTACATCATAAACACTGTATAGAAACATATATAGCAGGGTTATAACGTTAACTAAAACTATGAAAACATTTCTCATAATTAAAATAAAGCTGAAATAAAATAAGACTGAAATAAATTAAGATGAAGCACTAAATACAAATAAATAAATAACTAAGTGTATGTTTTTTCTTTTTGAAAAGTTTTGCGTACAGACGACAACGTTGTCAAAACGATTTTCGCTCTCACGTACTTCCGAAAATGACTTAAAAACGCTGTATTATGCATGCCAGGCCAGTAGTTGGCGATGTCACTTTGTCAAGAAATACGCACATACGCATTATTCTGCATATGCAAATAATGTGTCTCTGCTGGTCGTAGTAATGGTGCAGTAAATCTACACTTTGCTGGAGAAGCGTTAATAAACTCAGTTTCTTGAGCAGCACAAACACAGTCCTGTAGTCCACAAATTTGCATTTTTGTAGTTTACACAGAGACTATAATGGTTTTGTTTTCAAAAACTTGCACTATGAAATGACAAAAGCACATAAATACCTAAAAGCACACAAAATAACTAAAAATTTCAAATTAAAGCTAATTCAAAATATTAACAAAAAATTATAAAACTAAAATAACATGGACACATACTCATCTATGGCCACTTAGACAGTGTAAAGTTTCAGGAGTGACAACCACATTTAAATTTGTGAGTGGATCCCCTAAATGATCGTTCCTTGTGTGTACGAAACACGACTCACTCCTGAAACGTACTCGGTTACTAACGTAACCTCGGTTCTCTCTAGAGAGGGAACGAGTACTGCGTAATAGCTTACGCTAGGGGAAAAACTCTTTTCCGCGAGATATTGAAGCCAAAAATTATCCTTTAATTTTTTATTAATGCAAAACGCTTTGCAGCAGCAAGCAAACATAGGCGAAACAGCTCGCGCGCCTATTGGTTGCTCTGCAGCAAATGCAGCAGCCTATCGAGAGAGACTCTGCGTGACGTAATGACCAATGGGGGCAATTCGCGCCCATATCGTCACGTCCCGCCAGAAGGGGCGTGGTCTCGCCCTATAAATATGCTCGTTAGGCTGATACAAGCTGGTTTTTATCGCTGAAGCGAACCAGAGCGTATTCCACGCACGGCAAGATACGCAGTACTCGTTCCCTCTCTAGAGAGAACCGAGGTTACGTTAGTAACCGAGTACGTTCTCTTACGAGAGTATCTCTCGTACTGCGTAATAGCTTACGCTAGGGGAACACAATGCAACACGCCGTGCGTAAAGGGATCCAACACCAAAGTCCCAGGGGCCGAAGCCCAGGGCTCATGTAGTGCATAATCACCATAAACTCACATAGAGTAAAGGAGAGAGGCTGGAAGCGTCATTCCCTATAAAAAAGCACCCAGCGGGGCTATTATATGACCATCAAACGCGCAGCCAGGGTGAAAGCATTCAGCCTGATCTGGGCGGCCATACGTGAGTCAACACTCATGGGGCTGCAGTAAACTCAGCATCTGGGCCGCAGAGCGGGGCAGATAGCACTGAATTTAGACCGCCAAAAGCTTAGCTTGTAAGGCGGGTACCTCCAGGTTATAGTATTTTATAAATGTAGACGGCGAGGCCCAGCCCGCGGCCGTACAGATATCTTGCAGGGAAACCCCGCTAGACCATGCCCACGAAGAGGCCACGCCTCTCGTGGAATGCGCCCTGACACCCAAGGGGCACTGTAAGCCCTTCGCAGAGTAAGCGAGCGCGATGGCATCCACTATCCATCTGGATAGGCTCTGTTTTGAGGCGGCGAGTCCCTTGGAACGCCCGCCGAACAAAACAAAAAGCTGCTCCGTCTGTCTGAAAACAGACGAGCGTGCCACATAAGCTCTCAATGCCCTGACGGGGCAGAGGAGACTTGCATCCTCCTCCTCACTGAGAACCCGAAGGGCAGACAGGGAAATGACCTGGGCCCTGAACGGCGTGTTGAGGGATTTCGGGACATACCCGTGTTTCGGTTTGAGAATGACCTTTGAGTCATTAGGCCCAAACTCCATACACGACGCGCTTACTGAAAGCGCCTGTAGGTCCCCTATGCGCTTCACTGAAGCGAGAGCCATGAGAAACACTGTCTTGAACGACAGGTGTTTCATGTCCACCAGCTGGATTGGCTCGAACGGGGCGCCTTTCATGGCCTCCAAGACCGTGGAAAGGTCCCACGTCGGGACTGAAGGGGGCCTTGGAGGGTTCAGCCTCCGAGCTCCCCTAAGGAAACGCACGACTAAGTCGTTTTTCCCAAGCGACTGGCCAGACACCGGTTTTGCAAACGTTGCTATGGCCGCCACATATACTTTGAGCGTGGATGGGGTCCTGCCCTTATCCAGTAGCTCTTGAAGGAAGGAAAGCACTTCCGCAACCCCGCACTCCACAGGTGAAAGGCTCTGGGCCTGACACCATGTCGAGAAAACAGACCATTTTGAGGAGTAGAGCCGCCTGGTAGACGGAGCTCTAGCCTGCGCGATCGTGTTTAACACTCCCTCTGGGAGGCTAGCGGGTACCCGTTGATGGCCCATGCGTGCAGGGACCATAACTCCGGGCGAGGGTGCCAGATTGAGCCCTCCGCCTGAGAGAGGAGGTCTCTCCTCAATGGTACAGGCCATGGGGCAGTGCTGGTCAGCTGCATCAGGGCAGGGAACCACGTCTGGTTCGTCCAGAGCGGGGCTACAAGCAGCACTGGGCATCCGTTTTCCCTGATTCGTTCCAACACCTGAGGCAGGAGCGAGACAGGAGGAAAAGCATACAGGGGGCAGCGGGGCCAAACATGAGCCAGCGCGTCCTTGCTTTTCGAGAAAAACTCCGGGCAATGAGCGTTTTCTTGGGACGCGAATAGGTCCACCTGAGCTCTGCCGAACGTTTTCCACAGCAGCTGGACCGTCTGCGGGTGCAGCGACCATTCCCCTGCTGGAACGTTGTTCCTGGACAGTCTGTCTGGTCCCACGTTCAGGTGACCAGGCACGTGCGCCGCTCTCAGTGAGAGCAGGTTGTGCTGAGCCCAAACCAGGAGGCGTTCCGTCAACCTGTAAAGGTTTTGTGACCTGACGCCGCCCTGGCGATTTATGTATGCCACCACCGACATGTTGTCCGACCGGACCAAGACGTGGTGGCCTGTTATCTGGGGACAAAAACGCCGTAGCGCTTTGTCGGCTGCTATCATCTCCAAGCAGTTTATGTGAAGGAGCTTTTCCCGTTCTGACCACAGGCCAGCTAGCGGTCTGCCCTCGAGCAGCGCTCCCCACCCCGAGGTGGAGGCGTCCGTAGACACCACCTTCACGCTCGAAGCGGTCCCCAGACTCACACCTGACTGATACCAGTCGGTTTCTCTCCAAGGTTTCAGAGCTGAAACGCACTGAAGGTCGACCCTGAGGCGAAACAGACCCGCTGTCCATGCCCTGGGTGGAACCCGCGTCTTCAGCCACATCTGCAGTGGGCGCATGCGGAGCAGGCCCAACTGGAGTACAGAGGCTGCTGAGGCCATCAGCCCCAGCATTTTCTGAAACCTTTTGAGCGGGACTATCGCGCCGTGGCGGAAGGATTTCACGCCGCGCTGAATATTTAGCACGCGCTCTGGTGACAGGCGTGCTGTCATGGACAGCGAGTCCAACACGGTTCCCAGAAAGGAAATTTTCTGACTGGGAGACAGTGAGCTCTTCGCCCAATTGACTGTGAGGCCCAGCTTCTCGAGGTGCTCGAGCAATGCGGCCCTGTGTTCTATGAGCTCCGATCGTGATCGAGCTAGAATCAGCCAATCGTCCAAGTAGTTCAGAACTCGCATGCCCTGAAGTCTCAGGGGCGCGAGCGCCGCGTCCATGCACTTCGTAAATGTACGAGGCGCTAGGGACAGGCCGAACGGCAGGACTGTGTATTGATATGCCTGGCCCTCGAAGGCGAATCTCAAAAATCGCCTGTGATGGGACGCTATTTGTATTTGGAAATAGGCGTCTTTCAGATCTATCGACATAAACCAGTCCCCGAAGCGCACCTGCGCGAGGATTTTCCTGGTCGTAAGCATTCTGAACTGGCGCTTCACAAGCACTCTGTTCAGCTGCCGCAGATCTAAAATGGGTCTGAGACCCCCATCCTTTTTCGGTACCAGAAAATATCTGCTGTATAGGCCCCCTTCGCTCTGAGCCTGAGATAAAGGTTCTATAGCCCCTTTGCTCAGTAGTTTCGCTATTTCGGCACGAAGTAGATGAGATACTTCGTTTTTCACCGTGGTTTCGACGCGCGCCGTATAACGGCGCGGGCGTCGAGCGAATTGTAGCGAATAGCCTCTCTTTATAGTGTTCAGCACCCATTCTGAAACCCCGGGAAGCTTTGACCACGCATCTGCGTGAATAGCTAGAGGCAGAATGAAATCCGGGCTCTGGCCGCGACAAAACGGCAGCTCGAGAGCCTGGGCATACTGGGAACACAACACCGTGTTTACAGCGTTCGAGGCGGGGGGCGCGCTGATCACAGCGGGCGACCTGGCCGCGCTCAGCTTTTTTATGGCAGATTGTGCAGAAAAAGCGAGCGGGGGAGATCCCGTGGGAATCGGCGTGTCTGTGAGAAAATGTGGGCGCGGGGCTGCGGGCACATTTAATACACTGAAAACACTGTCGTTCATGGCCGACTGAATGTGTGTTGGTTTCGTTTTTACAGAAACCATGGGACACGCAGCATGTAGTGTGAGCGGGCATGATGACATGGGCACTTGCACTACATTGTTTGCACAATCGACCGGAGTCGATTTTATTTGTGCTAGCCCTGCACCGTGGCGGGCTGTGTTTGTGTGTGGGAATGGGCACTGGGTGGGCATTCTTACAACACTCATAACACCTTCGGCCATGGCCGGAACACCAGAAAATGCACTCTTTATTGGATTTATCTGGGTAGCCGTAAAAACGGCTTTTGTGCGCAGGCAAACGGGCTGTGACACCGGCTGACTCTCTGCGAAATACACTGGGACAGTCGCGATGTTTGGAACTGACCGAGCGAGAAGTTTTGGTGAAAAACCGGCCGCAGCGGGATCTGAACACCGTCGTTTTCCTAGAATGGCTAGGAAGATTTTGAGGCCTCGGGCTTGATCTCAATCCTCGGCCGGGGCCCGCGCTGAGGGGGGCGGCGTCCAGCAGAGCGAGAGCGCGGTCTTTGGTCTCGGGCGTGGCGGCGCTGTGAAGCGGCGGCGGCGGGCGGTGCAGGCTGCGGCTGAGAGCTGCGAGCAGGCGGCGGTTTAGAGCGACCTGCAGCGGAGCTCGAGCGCTTCGGGAGGAAGTGCTTCATGGCCTGCGAAGTCTTTTGCACCTCCATGAATCTATCCGCAAAGTCTGTGACGGCAGATCCGAAAAGGCCCGCTTGAGAAATGGGCGCGTCGAGGAACACAGAGCGCTCGGCTTCCGTCATCTCGGACAGCGTCAACCACAAATGTCTCTCAGCCACGGTGAGAGAGGCCATGTTTCGTCCTATGGCCTGTGCAGCGGCTTTAGTAGCGCGAAGAGCGAGGTCTGTAGCGCTTCTCAGGTCCGCGACGCAGATCGCTCCGGGTCCTTCCTCGTCCAGTTTAAGGAGAAGGTCGGCCTGGAAAATCTGCAGGATGGCCATAGTGTGCAGCGCTGAAACTGCCTGCCCGGCGGCGGTGTAAGCGCGACCGTGCATGGATGACGTCACCCGGCAGGCTTTAGATGGAAGCGTCGTGTGCGCGCGCCGTCCAGCGGAGGGCGGGCAGAGATGAGACGCTACAGCTGGTTCCACAGGAGGAACAGAAAGGTATCCTCTTTCCTTCGCGCCATCCACAGAGGAGAAAGCAGCAGAAGCAGAGGTACGAAGCCTGGCGGAGAAGGGGGCGTTCCACGATTTCGTAACTTCGTCGTGAAGTTCCGGGAGGAAGGGCGCGGGCCGCGATTTCGACGGAGCCTCGTCACTTCCGAGAAAGCGTCCGTCCATTCTGTTGCGCGGCGGCTGCGCGGGCGCCTCCCAATCGAGGCCGATGCTTTCAACGGCCTGAGAGAGCAGACGCATCAGCTCAGTCTCAATGCCGGCTCTCTTACCAGTGGTCTGGCGGGAAACGCTAGCGGAGGGGAGATCCACGGAGCTCGCCCAATCCTCACTATCGGACGCCAGAAGAGAACACGCCTCGGAGGGTTCGTCAGGCTCGTGGATGGACGCGGCGGCAGGCGGCGGCCGTTGTCCGTCAGTGAGCGACTCGAGCGAAGCCGGCGAAGCAGGCGGGCGAACCGGCGAGCTTTGGCGGGCTGGAGATAGCTCGGGAGCGCGCTGGGCGCGGCGCTTTTTACGGCGCGGCGTCACGGCGGGCTGTGGTGAAGGCTCGGAGAATGATGCCAGGCGCGTCCTCAGAGTCACCATGGGCAAAAGCTCGCAATGAGGGCATCCGCCGTCAGCGAGCGCGAGAGCCGCGTGATCCTCACCCAGACAGGAAACACAGATGACGTGTCGATCTCCATCGCTGAGCGGGGCGCGGCACGAGCCACAGGAAGGCATCTTTAAAAAGACGCTGCTCTTTTTGTGAGAGAAGTGTAAGTCGCGTCAAGTAAGCGAACAAACACTTCTCAACAGAGAAATACACACAGGGTATTGAAAGGATATATAACGCCGGAAAGCGCAGCAGGTACGGCAGATGAAGGCGGCGAGGCCAGCGACTCCAGAGCTCGTCCCGCTGAAAGGCTTGCTTCGACGGCGCGGCTTCTCACTCCGGATCCAGCGATGCGTGTGCTTCGCTGAAGAGGTAAAAATCAGCTTGTATCAGCCTAACGAGCATATTTATAGGGCGAGACCACGCCCCTTCTGGCGGGACGTGACGATATGGGCGCGAATTGCCCCCATTGGTCATTACGTCACGCAGAGTCTCTCTCGATAGGCTGCTGCATTTGCTGCAGAGCAACCAATAGGCGCGCGAGCTGTTTCGCCTATGTTTGCTTGCTGCTGCAAAGCGTTTTGCATTAATAAAAAATTAAAGGATAATTTTTGGCTTCAATATCTCGCGGAAAAGAGTTTTTCCCCTAGCGTAAGCTATTACGCAGTACGAGAGATACTCTCGTAAGAGAACTACGATTGACACCATGGTAACCATAGAAACGTTCTGGCTTTTCGCGTGTTTGATATCCGCTATTTTTGACCAAATTAATATTACATTGACGAAAGACTCGTTGTGTTCAGCAATTTTTATTAAAGCACACAGTCGTCGGAGGCGTTTTGTTTATGCTGAAAGGCTGCTTCACAGAGCGCGCTCGCAGTGTTGCCATGTCCACTTATTTTAAGCGTTTTTGGGGTTTGTTTAAGTTCGGATCAAACAGTGATCAAGTTTATGGAGTAATTAAAATGCACAGGTGCGGGTCACAATGTTTCAGTCTTATTTTCAGCATATAGCATTTCATTTATTTTGTTTTTTTTATGGGCTTGTTCTTGTTCGCTGATTTGCTTGCAAGATCTGGCAACACGAATGCGTCAGGTTGGCACTGCTTTGCCTGTGATTTCTTGCACCGCACATACAGACAAGATAAATCTAAATTAAATGCAATGTTTTTGATAACTAATTATATTATAACAATTTTGAGTGAAAAATGTAAAAATGTAATTGAAAATTTTCCCTTGAATTTTAGATTTCGTTTAGTATTTTTACTGTATACACCCCTTTTGTTTGAATTACGCTCTAACTGGCATTAACTCTTACTGTAATTATTTTTTAATTATAATAATAACAATTTAAATTTTCTATCATCTTGTTGTTCACAGGAAACATGCTGGTACTCGGTGCATGATGTCTGCCTCTACTGGCCCGCATGGCTGTGTGTGATTGTCTTAGAGACGATATGGTTATGTTTGACCTTCCTCCTCCCGGTGCCAGACTGCCCAACGTTAGTAAACTCATACTCATGGATATGAGTGTGTCATTTTTTTTTTAACAGCTGTCTTAATGTCCTTCCTCGTATCCCCTGCCTCATTTGCAATCACAAAGGGAACCCGCTGCAGAAACTACTCTTTTTCTGATTTGTTAAAATTACATGATATTTGCATAAATATCGGTAAGATCATAAGATCATATATATAAAAATAGATTTGTCTGCTAATTAGAAATGCAAAACAGATTGTTAGCATATTTAAAAAGTACTTTTTCCCCTGGTAAATTATAAAGGGTGAAAAAAATAGTTATTACATAATGTTATTAGCCAGTTGTAATTGGTTATATTGAATGGATGCATGGGTGCTACATAAAATGAATATGCAAATGAAAGTGATTTGAATAGCATGACTCATGTCCATCTACTTGCTATTCTTGCTATAAATTGCTAGATTTTTCTTCTTGATGTCTCTCTCTCTTGCAGTGGTTATTTGGGTCCAGGGGGCATTGGTGACTTTGGCCTGTACCAAAACTGCACTGGTGGAGCTGCAGGTTACATTGATCGCTGGTTGCTCGGAGATAACCATATTTACCAGACACCTTCATCACGGGTAAACAGACACCAAAACTGAGAACTGTTTGTCATTCTGACACATACTTAGTAGGGCTGAGTTTCACTATTCGAATCGATTCAGTTCTGATCTCGATTCTATTTTGATATATGTCAGAAATAACTATTGCTGTGCTCTACACAGAGACCCCTGTCAGTTGGTACATTACGATCATTTTAAAAGTTAAAATTAACAATATACAAACATTAAAATTGTACATAAGGCAGTTTTTTATAATAATATAATTTTAATGGTAAAATTATGTTTCTACTCCAATTCGCTTTTTTTAAACATAAACATTTAAACTGGCTGTCATAAATTGTTTTCATGCATACATTTATTCAAACATACGAACAGGTTAAGTAAAAATATAATGAATATGTAATATAGTGCATTTATTTAGCAAAATGTTCTTCTCTTTTTTCTAGCATACTATCAAGCTATAAACATTGAATGGGTTTTCTGAGGTCAATGTAACTTTACGTGACATTGTTTTCTAGATGTTTTATTAATAATGTATTTCCGCGGTTGAAATTGATTGAGTGATTACATGTCATTTTGGTAAATTGTAATGTATCTTTCAACATACCTTCTGATGTTCATTCATGTTTATTTAAGTGCTATAACTAGTAGTAAAGAGGAAGAGATGATCCGTTCACGTGTGCTTTGCACTGCCGCTTCGCTTGAACTGCTACAGCGATCTGTCACCCTACATTACAGAGCGGCAAAATAGTTTTTATTGTTTGAATTTTGTAATAAAATTGACTGATTTGAAAGCTAAGAATTTTTTATATCAAAAGTAACAAAGCACAAAGCTTATTGCAATTTAGGCACACTAAAGTTTTGTTCATGCATCAACTGAAAACAGCATAGACTAAAAGATCGATTTGTGGGGATTTAAGAATCGATATCAATTCTTCAAAATGTGATTAAAATTCAGAAATCGATTTGCTAGAGCAACAGATACGTTTCCACTCTTTCTTTCTGCACTAGCACTCGCTGATGCAATTCATTGTGTTTTTGTCTGTGCATATATCTAGGTTGTATATCAGTCTATGATGCCCTTTGACCCTGAGGGTGTTTTGGGAAGCATCAACTCCATATTGATGGCTTTTCTGGGTCTTCAGGTGAGTCAAGTAGAAGGAATCTGGTTTTCACAGTAGCTCTAGTTATTAACCCTTTTCACAGACTGTGATGTTGTGTTTCACAGTTATCAACAGTCAAAGTTTCATATTTTCATTAAATTTTTTTCATTAAATTTTTTTTTTATAATGCTGTACTTTGTGTTATTACCCTGACAGTACATTAATTAATGAATTATCACTGTTGTGAGGGTGTTACTAATACAATGGCTGAGGGAGTGACGGCAAATTTGACATCTTTCTTTCTTCTGGCTACTGTAATCAGAGATTCTCTATATATTTTCCTTCTTTTGGAAAGTCTTTGAAACACTCGTATTTTTGTTGTTGTTGTTGTTGTTGTTGTTGCTATTGGAACAAATGGGAATACAAACATTAAAGTTTACCCAACTACGACGACTTCCACTTCTATGAACCCCGGAAATTGCTCGTTTTCTTTTTTTCATTTCTCTCTCTTTATTTAAACCTCATAGCAGCATCAGTGATTCTCCTTTCCCTCCCTCTCTCTTACTGCATCAGTTTCAGCAGTGCAGTCACATGCTTCATGTAAACTATTTTTGTTCTGCAGTGCTTCTGGGAATCACATCTAATAATTGTCTTATCCTATTGCATGTTTTGTATTTATTTGTGTTTCAGGCAGGGAAAATTCTGCTGCATTACAGGGACCAACACAAGCAAATAATCACACGATTTCTCATTTGGGGATTCATACTGGTATGTTTACCATCTGATTATTGTTTGTTTTTGCTAGCACTTTATATAATAACTATATAATAATAAAAAAGATTTTCTATACGTTTAATTCAGCAAGACATTTATATTGTTACAAAATATTTCTATCTATTTTCCCTTAATATTTCTTCTATTTTCTATATTTCTAATATTTCTAAATATATGCTGTTTTTTTTAACTTTCTATTCATCAACGAATCTTAATAAAATGCATTACAGTTTCCACAAAAACATTAAGCATCACATGTGTTTTTAACATAATAATAATAATAATAATAAAAATAAGACATGTTTCTTTGGCACCAAATTAGCATAATTAGAATGATGTTTGAGGAATCATGTGACACTGAAAACTGGAGGAAAGCTTAGTAGAAAAAAAAAAGTTATATTTACATTTCACAATATTACTGTTTTGACTGTATTTTATATAGGCCTACTGTATAATGTAAAAAAAAAGCCAGTCATTGGTGCAAAATAGAGTACAACATGGTGATCAGGATCAGTACAAAGGGGTATATTTTGTGATACAGAGTTGATTATGCCATTAATTACATGGCTACTCACCAGATAAATTCATAAATCGACATTAAATACTGATTTACAGTAAGTTTTGTTATGAGAAGAAAGAGACCTGATATTGGCGCAGTTATGTAAGAAATAAGGGTCATTTATACAGTTAAGCAGTTGTTATACAACAATATTTTGCCATAGAAATGCCATGAATGACCAATAACAATCAAGTCATGTAACAATGTTTGGTAGTGCTATTAGTGATGCATTTAATGTGTTTTTATTTATTTATTTATGTTTATATTACAGTTGTCTTATTTTGAACCCCTACACATCAGAAGATTCAAACACAATTTGAAATTGACACAGTCGGTCAATATTTATATAAAGCTGTGTTTGTGGAAACCTAATGCTGTCTATCTTTGCATTAAGGGGATCATCTCAGCTGTATTGACCAAGTGCTCCAGAAATGAAGGCTTCATCCCTGTCAACAAAAACTTGTGGTAAACTCAGTCTGCCTGTAGTTTTACTTATTTTAATGTTTTTATTAGATACTATTTGAATTTGTTTGATATTGTTATGGTTATTGTCATCATTTGTGGTCACAAATTTCCGAACATCTTGTTCATACGTGAAAGTATGCACAGCACTTTCATTAGCAGAGGAATGTATTGTTTGATGTGTGATTCACAGCTTCTTGTGCGACTTTCAGGTCTTTTTCGTATGTGACGACCCTCAGCTGTTTTGCTTTTGTGACTCTGGTTTTTTTTTACTACACGGTGGATGTAAAGAAGTGGTGGTCTGGAGCTCCTTTCTTCTACCCTGGTAAGCACTTTAAACAGCCAGAATGAATGTACCTAGACTGATGAATGCGCCCAAATTTACTTTATATGGCTCTTGCATTTAAGATTTGACCCCTATGACTTAGAAATATCTATCCGTGTTTGTATTATTTGTACTATTGTGGCAGTAACAAACCTCAAGGGGACGATATAGTTACCTTCAAATGCCTGTGCCGGGGTCAGCATGAAACAGAAATGGCAATCGTTTTTTCTTCCCTATTATAAAATATATACGAGTAAACCGGCTTCTTGAACAATAAAACAATGGAGGGCGGGACTTGAATTTGTCCATTGGGAATTGATTGTATCGTTGTGGTTTGCTTTTGCTGTGATGTCATGTGAGTGACATGTTGTCTAGTAAACACGCCATCAGAGAAAACATGTCGCTGCTAAACGGAGAGGAAGTTATTTTGATTAAAGATTATTTGGGCACATGCATTTAAAAAATATATATATGATGTGCACAGATAATTCATTTATAGTAAATACTGCAATGTTCTATACAAAAAGAATTGTCGATTTTGATTCCGCGGTGACTTTAAACTTGATTTGTTGTTATTCAGGCAGCTAGCTAATCATGTTGACAGTATAATCAAAGTAAGAAAACGAACTATAAAAAATGCAGTTTATGCCTTATAACTATGGTGTTTTATGAATTGCTTTCAATTTGATGTTTTATTTGGCAGGTATGAATTCCATCTTGGTGTATGTGGGACATGAAGTGTTTGAGGAATACTTCCCTTTTCGTTGGAAGATGGCCAATAGCCAATCACACGCAGAGCACCTAGCACAGAACCTCCTGGCCACCTCTATATGGGTGTTCATAGCCTACCTGCTCTACAGGAAGAAGATCTTCTGGAAGATTTAAAGGCATATCTGTATCCTGCAGATTTTAGGACCTGCTCTTCATTGTGAAAGAGATTTTTTTTTTTTTTTTTTGATATTTTTAGATGTAGAAAATCAGCAGATCTCTGAACATCTGTGGGGAGACAAAAACTCACATGTGATCCAGGAATAGAACTTAGCTATTATTTGAGAAGAGCAGAAGGAAGAGAAAAGAAGATCACATGGCAGTGCAAAGATACCTCTTTTTGGATTCAACCAAGCCTTCAAAATGAATGACAAGATGCCATGGGCAGATTCTGCTAAATTCTAATTCAGTCTACTGGTTTTGGGTTAATTAATGATGTTTTGAAGCATAGTGATGCGTTATGATTGGATTTGGAATTTCCTCAATTCTGAACGTTTCAGGGCTAAGTTAGGTTTAGTTAAATAATAGATTTCAGCAATTGTGAAACTATAAGCAAATACGAAGGAATGAAAACCCCAAACTGCCAAAAAAAAAACAGTCTTCCATCAAGGTCTACAAAATATGCTGAAAGATCCACTATTAAGGCAAAATAATGTTACACAATTTTAGGTTTAATTTTTAATGTCATGAACACTCTGGGACTTTTTTTTTTTTTTTTGTGGACTCTTTATCTCTTTTTTTTATACTGTGGTTTTATTCTTTATATCGTAAGATCAAAGTTTCATGGTAAGAATAGGATGTATGTGTGTGTTCTGCCTTCTCAAAAACTCAGGAGATTTGCACAACTTGGGAGTGCCAAATATAGTGTTATGCTTTCTCAGATAAAACCATGTCCTTGTTTATTACAATTTACCAATAACTTGTAACCTCTCCCAAAAACATACATCAAATTAAAAAACAACAACAAAAAAAAAACACTAATCACTGACATATTTCCCATACACATTGCTGCTTAAGAAAATAATTGTTCCAAGAGAAGGGAAAATATTGATCCACCACCGTATTTGTTGCCGACTCGAAAAATCTATTCCATTTTTGTTACGGATAATGGATATTTTACAGATGTATGAACTACATTTCCTCATGTTTATCTTTGTTTTATCAACATGGGATGTGGTAAAAAATAAATCTTTTTTTGCCATTAAATCTCATTCTTTCTTTTGAGTTCATTATATGGATGAGGTGATCATGGGACCCAATGGGCTCATCTTCAGGAGGGTTCCCCTCGTATCACCAGTCAGTCTCAGACAGTCAGTGCCAAATCAGACATCCATTGCTGTCCTTTAGATGCTTAAAAAAAAAACTATTTCAAAATTCATGTTTGAGGTATGCGTGCAATTTTGTGGAACAAAACGTGAAAGCTAAATGTATTATTTCATTGATAGTTCACTCAAAATTAAAAATGTCTGTCACCACTCCAAACCTCTGGCATTCTTTCTTCTGTGGAACATTGAACATGGAAGATATTTATATGTAATCGAAATTATTCAACCCCATTGCAAATCAGGTTTATTGGCAAAACTTTGACAAACTTTCAGGTGTTTGCAATGAACAAATCAATCAAAAGTAATTGAAAGATCTCAACACAACAAATGTTTCAAGTGGTTTCGGCAAACTGAAAATGCAACTTTTGCATTTTGCAATGACTTCTGCAGTCTCAAAATTATTCAACCCCCTGAATAGAATCCCTCACAACAGTATTCAACTGGTATCACTCCTCAGAATGTTTTCCAATCACCTGCATTTGCTAATTAGCGCAGTTTTTCAGCCAGGAGATGGAACTAATTAGTGAAATCAGCTGGCTGAGTTCATGGGTGGAATAAACATATGGCAGGACTTTTACTTTGACCCCTGCCCTGCACTTTACACCTCTGGAGCACACCTATGCAACTAGCCTAATTAAGGGCTTTGTTAGTTGCACCAGGTGTGCATATATACCGGTATATATATATATATATATATATATATAGCAAAATATGCGTATATAATGAAATATTTTGAGATTGTATGGAGACCGACTCGATTACGTAAACAGTGCTTCACAGGAGTGGGTGAGGCTAAAGAGTTGGAGTGTTTTGCTTTCGTCAACACTGACAACCTGATAATTTAATTAAATAATTTAGTTAAGTTTTTACTTTTGGACCCTAAAATGAATGGAGTTTTAACTTTTGGAACCAGACTGTATCACTCTATTGCTGTGATCACATTATGAGTGAAAGGTTGTCCCTCCCTGGCGCCAGTAAACACGTCATCAGAGAATATTAAAGATTACAGGGCACATGAATAAAAAAAAATGTGTATGGATAAATGATTTATAATATATACTGCAATATTCCATTAAAAATGGAAATTTTTCAATTTTGTTTTCATTGGGACTGTAAGCGTTACTGCGCCTTTAAAAACCTGTCCGACGGTGCGGGCACGCAGTGCGCATGCTTGAGAATATAGGAAGTCGGTAATTGTGACGGGTGATGTGGACTTAAATCGGTCGAGAGCATCCGCGCGTCTTTAAGAAGAAAGAACAAACTCTTAAAGACGGACTCACGGATATGACGCGGGGTTTTTGAGAGGTGTCTGAGTTTCTCTGGACAGAGACAGAAAACACCCACAGTCCGCAATGATGGCAGAATGCGATCCCACCGACGGCGAGCCGGAGAAAGGCGGCGGAGATTTAACACCGGAGGCGAACTTTCTCAATTCGGAGGTGCCCGCGGTCTTATTTGAAAAGACCCGGTCGGTGCCGTCACTGGGACTTTCTCTGAACCCCGGGGCAGCGGTCCGGATCTCGGACTCGACGGAAAGCGTGCTGACGGAGCTGGAAGCGGACGGGTCGGGGGAAGAGGCGCTTCTCTTACCAGGACCTGCCGGGAATCTCTCACCTCGGGCTGGGAGAGAGAAAAGGACGCGAAGGAACAGACACAGTTCATCATCTGATAATCCGGCATCTCCAGGTGAGATATATGAGCTGGATGTCACTCATAATCTGATTAAACTGGCTCAAACTAGAGGTGTCTGTCTTCACACACTTCGACACCTTTTGGTTTGCTTCTCTAACAAAATACATCTTTTTGATGTATATTTGTTTCAGTGCGATATTTCAGGTTTGCAAAACGCATTGAATTTTCTGTTACTACTTTTAAACAAAACAAAATTCACCCTAGTTATGAAAAATAACACTACTGACCACGCCTTTATTTAAATGTAGCCACTCCCCCTTTTTAAATGACAGCCACTCTTCGTCATTTTATTGTTTAATCTGAGTTCAATCGGAGAAAGAACGCACACGGGACCAGTCTGCATTAGTTTCCATAGCAACCGCGCGTGTTCTGTTTCTGTTAAGCGCAGTGTGTTCCAAAAAACAGCTAATATACTTTGGGGAACTGTGTAAGATATTAAATCAAACAGAGAGAGGATGTTTTTTTTTGCCTCCTCCCTAACACACACTGAACAAGTTTTAATGTAAAAGAAATGTATGAAATATTCTAAATTCACTCCCACACGTCTTGCCCTATGTGCTGCCTGTTACCTCATCTGCTTTATCTCAGAACGTGGTCCGTTATGCAACCTTTCCAGAGTTCAGCTTACATGCTCTTTGAACCTGGAGCACACATGTACAGGTGACACCACAGCAGCTGCTGGAATATCTACAGAACTCTTGATGCACATGCTTAACTGTTTCTGTGTGTTGCAGCTTGCTGCATATATTTTCATCCTTCCAGGTGCGTCTGTACTCATAAGATTGTTAGAGTAGATGTGGAGTGCATTGACGACGCAATAAAGTTTCCTTGCAAATTAATAACGGGTTCATTTGAATGCGGATAAGCTAGAGAGCAGAAACACACTTTCCGCTTTCTCTTTGAGATCCACATCCGAGCCTTCAGTGAAAGGGGTAAAAAATCCTTTAGGGTCTCTCAAAGGGGTTGCATTGCCATTGCCTACTTTAAATGAAGGTATTATTAGAAGTGCATCTCTGTGATGCTATTTTTTGTTTGTTTGATATAGGAATAACGAAGTGTGCAAGTGCTACATAGAGTTATTAAATATAAATGCTGCCAGAAATGAGACGTTCTTATTTACACGACAAAGTAATATGATTGATAACATCCAAAGATCATCACATAGCCTAACACTTAAAAAAAAAAAAAAAAAAAAAAACTTAAAATTGCAATGAAACAGATTTTTTTCGTCCATAGACACTGATAAGCCAAAACAATATGATTAGGCACAGATGAAGCAAATATCGTTGACCATCTCCTAACAAGGTGACATGTTAAGGTCTGGGTAGATTAGATGGTAAGCAAGCAATCAGTTCTTGTAATCAACATGTTGGATGCAGGAGAATTGGCCAGGAATAAAGATCTGAGTGAATTTGACAAGGGCCAATGTGGCAAGCAGGAATGAGAAATGCAATATGAGAAATGACCCAGGCCTGGACTATTTATGTTGTGTTTTATTATGTTTATATGAGGCAGTCATCCGTGAGGGGCTGCTGCTTTACTTTCGTTTTGTTGTTTGTTTATCTGTGCCATTAAACTTTACGTTGATCGTTCGCTGCGTTGATAGTGTACGTGTGGGAACCTCCTCCTTTCCTGAGCCTTTAAACTTCGCCAAATTGTTATGTAAAGGCGATTGGGTAAGTTATCTCTGAAACGGCAAGGCTTGTGGTTTGCTCTCGGTCAGCAGTGGTGAGAATTTACCAACAGTAGTCTGAGAAGCCACAAACCGACGACCGGGTGTTGGGCGCTCAAAGCTCATCGATGCACGAGCAATGAAGGCTATCCTGTCTGGTCCGAGCCAACAGAAAGTCTACTGTGGCACAAGCCACAAAATCTTTTTATGATAGTAATGGGAGTATTGTGTCACAACACACACTTCATTGCACTCTGCTGTGAATGGGGCTTCGTAGCCGCGTAGACCAATCAGAGTGCTCATTGGTGACCCCTGTCAACCTTCGAAAGCGCCAACATTGGGCACGTGAGTGCCGGAACTGGACCTTAGAGCAGTGGAAGAAGGTCGCTTGGTCCGATGAGTCCTGTTTTTATTTACTTTTTTTACGTCATGTGGACGGCTTTGTACGTGTGCGCCGTTTACCTGGAGAAGTGATGGCACCAGGGGTGTGAATTTTCATTTCATGTTGTTGACTTTAAATTTGTTCTTATTAGAGCTAAAAACCAAATTGTGGGGGGGGGTGGGGGTGGGGGTGGGGGGGGGGCATGATTGCCACTGATGTGGCAATCATGCCACATCAGTTTGATTTAAATACTGGAATGTTGAATGAATTTGGAAAAAGCACAAGTACATCTTAATTGCACATTGTAGCTTAGATGAAGTGCAGTAAAATGAAGCTATTCTGATAATTGATATTTATGACATGCTATGCAGATATGTTTTCTGAGGTGTGTTTGCATGGGTGTGTCTGGTCTGTGTGTACAAGAGAGGGAAAGTGTTCTTGTCTTCTAAATGTTTAATGGCTATCAGAGAGGTTCGGTCTGTATGTGTCTAATGGACTCTCTAATTCACCCAGGGAAAGCTACCCAGAGACCATTGTGTGTGTGTGTGTTTTACCTTTTAGAGCATGTAGACCACTTTGTGTTAGTTTTACTGCAGTCTATGCATTCATTGTAGTGGATTCTGAAAAAAGAATATGAGTTTTGGTCAAATCCATTGTTAAATAAATAAATATCCTTCATGGGTACATGTATTGTGACTCGTATGTGTGCTAGGCTTTGTTCACTGCATTTTAGAAATAGATTTTTAGGACTTGCTGTCATTTTGCAAGTGACTTAATCTGATAATCTATTTGTAGAGTGTAGCTGCATCGGTTACTATAGTAATAATGCATACATCTTCCAGATACAGCAAGGCTTTTTTTCAACAGCTGATAGCATCAAACCACTTACCGATTTGGTTTTGATCATGTTTGTAAACTTTGGGTTTCGTGTGGTTTGTTCAAAAAACGAAATCTGCTTGAATCATATTCACCAGTTTTTGCTGCCTTTCTAAACAAAGCCTTAGTGAGCATGTTGTGTATGTAGTTCAGTGTTAGTAAGAGACATGCAGGCCCTCTCTACTTTAGTTTGGAATGGATGGTGACCATCTGATCATCATTTGCCTCTACGCAGATCACATTTGACATGAGTGTGTGT